TCCAAAAGTTATAACTTGTTCAATTCCACCAAAAATCCAACAATAATTAGTCCATCAAGTCTAACCATTCACAAGACAGATAAGCAGCATAGAAAAAATAGGTAAGGGATAGAACATCAATTTCGACATCTATATTTTCAACCATTGTCTCACCCCCAAGCCTTAAATTTAATGTTTGTTTTTCAATGCCCTTAACTATAAGCAATTGTCCAAAATAGTAGCCTAAAGTAAATTAGTCAATTGCAATAATAATGTGAAGATCACATAAATCTTCATAAAATATGCACCATGAAATTTTCTGAAGATTAGTCCCATATTAGTAGAATGTAATATGTATCCATCAAGAAATTAATATCAACGTGATCTCAGAGTAGGATTTTATCGAAGCATCAAAGTGCATCCACCATTAAAAAAAGAAAGCCGAAGAATGTTTGTGAGTGCATGTCGTACTTGCAATCCATTATTCTGACAACTGGTGGATCTGCATCTGGCGATAATATTACCTGCATTAGTAACAACAGAAATATAATCAAACAAACTCAAGCACAATGCCACATGAGAAGCTCAAAAGGCAAACACTTTCCACAACTGCACAAAATAAATACATAATAGTTAAACGTTTGACAAAACCATTGATTGGGGAAAATGAGCTCTAAGACAACGGCTACTGATAGCGAAATTACCAAAGTCAAAGAAGAGTATCACCTTGGGTAGAGGTGGATCTGCATTTGGCGATAATATTACCTGCATTAGTAACAACAGAAATATAATCAAATAAACTCAAGCACAGTGCCACATGAGAAGCTCAAAAGGCAAACACTTTCCACAACTGCACAAAATAAATATAAAAAAAATACAGAATAGTTAAACGTTTGACAAAACCATTGCTTGGGGAAAATGAGCTCCAAGACAATGGCTACTGATAGCGAAATTACTAGAGTCAAAGAAGAGTATCACCTTGGATGGAGCACTAAGAAAATCAAAAAACGGTGAAGGAGATCCTCAGCCTGACCGGATGGAAGTAAAAAATGCTCAGCATCTTAACAGAGATGAAGTTAAGGAAGAACTAACGACCGCAGATGTCAGAAAAGGGGAAAACCTAACAAAAGAGGAACACCTAAAATTGAGAGGTAAGATAATGGTTAAAAATAAGGCAAAAACCAAAAACCAAACTTCCAAAGCGATACCTGTACAAGACCATGAAGGGTCAATTTCGCCTCGTTATCAACATAAATTTCCACTGGCTGAAAGGAAGAAATGTCACAGTAAAGCATATTAGGAGCCTTCCTGAAGGTAATGGAATCCAGCACAAAATGAATGATGGATGAACATCCCTTCAATTGAGATTCCGGTCCATTTGATGTCTCCTTGCAGATATTCTAACTCACAAGAAGCAAGTCCACTGTTGCTCAACATATATACTATTATGTAACCAAAAGGAGCCACAGGTAAGACATCCAGCATCAACCCCATTAAAAACCCACACTCAAGGCCTAAAGTAAACAAGAAAATAACTAGGGATGTGAACAAAAGAAAAAATAAGGTACCGAAGAACGAAGAAACTATCCCCACACATCAGACCTAAAGACCGATCTTTCTTCTGCCACTACCCATCCCCTATCACATTACATACTTAGGTAGAATATTGAATAATGGGCATAAACAAAATGCTTTTGTAGATGTACTTACAATATGTATATATTTATTGCTTTACATTTGTCACTTTGTTCAAATTATGCTAAAGACTAAACTATTTTTCTATTTTTGATATGGATCAATTGATAGTTTTATGAAGAACTTAAGTTTAGGTCAAGTAGTTGAGATCCTTGGGTTTTTTTTTTTTTTTCAAACATTCAAGTGATTATACTCCTTGATTTCTAAGAAATAAATTGGGGGAGATTCTGAGTTTGAATTTATGGTGAAGCATCGAATGTTTATAAGTAGTAATTTAACTTACTACTAACTAATTAACTAACCCACTAATTTTGACACCCGGAAAAAAAAAATGTAATTTGATATTTTTAATTTTTTTTTTTTAATATTAGTTTGGTGGTGTGTGTGATTTTTCAGCGGTTCCATTGTCATCGTCATCTTCATCTTCATCTTCATCACCTGGAATGGTTGCTGTAGGGCAGGTGGGAAGCTATGGTGGGTATGGATCTGTGACTATGGAGAAAAGTTTTAGGGTAAGTTACACTATACTATACTACTCTCTAATCTAATACTAGTTACTGACTCACTCACTGAATACAGGTTGCCGTCGTTATGTAGTTGGGCAGCCAGTGAGCACAAAATCATGGTCTACTTATTGTCTTCCTCTCTCAACCTTTACAATTTCCTGGTTTGGCAAAAAGCCAACATGAAATTTGTACATCTAGTGTAGTTTATATGCATCATTAAAATAAAACTTTGTCTCTCCAAACAATTATAAAAGGAGAGACAACCTAAACATTTTCTTCACTTCAATCCTTCAAAATAGCTATTAAAAAAAGCCCTTTAGTTTTGTTGTTTGTTGTTGCAGTAACACTAGAGGGTAAGGTTTAATCAACTTCATAAAGGGTAACTCTTTTCTCTTTGAGCCAAACAACAAGGGTTACAGTCTATGCAAAGAAAATTTGAAAATAGAAGAACATTGATAATTAGAACATTGATAATCATTAAGGTATATTTGTTTTCTCACATGGCTTCACTTTTATGCTTGGATGCAACCACCCTATGTACAAGGACTAGAAACAGAATGCTTATGTTTGGGATTAGCTTTTTGGGTAGCTTTTTAAAATTCTGGTTTTTTTGTGAGGTGGAAAAAGATTAATGTGCTTTGGAATGGATTTTTATTTCAGTTGTATGGGAAAACATGGAAGGCTGATGTGATATTTTGGCTTTTTGCCTAAATTTTTCATTTTACCCTTGTTTTAGATCTATGGAAAAAATGCAAAGGTACATTTGTTTTTTTGATGCACCCCAAACGTTTTGGCTTTTGGGATTTTTTAGCCATTTTCATCCCCCAAACCACCCCAAAACACTTTAGCGTAAATAATGATAATGAAGAACAAAATACTCAAAGAATGATCATTCGCAATGAAAATTAAAAGAGAAAACAATTATTATTTGGTGGCAATTTCAATGCTGACTAATTGAAAATACATAAACTACCTATGTTTAGAACACATGCCTTGAGTTTTGACATTTTTTGTAAATATGACACAAAAATCATATGGTGATTGGTGAAGCCCAAAGCCTAGCGCATAAAAAGTCCTCATATGTAAAATTCTATAATTCATCCTGTTTTTCTACATTCTTTTAGTAACCAAATGAAGTATAACAGAAATGACCCAACCAAAGAATTACACACAGCAAGGCAAAACCATTTCATGCAAAATATATCGAGCTATCAGCAATCATAAGATAATAAAGCAACTGACTTGACAGTCAGCAATATGTCTCTCGCCATTTGGCCTTGTCCAATGACTTTTCTGACCGACAAATCACCATCATACACATTTTCCCTCTGGGATAATGAGTGATGTGGTTTGTATTGTGGTTGAGAGTTAGTTGCTGGTAGTTCTAATGTTGTATGAGCTGCCCTATGTCTATGAATAGGTAGGTGGGCTTCTAGTGAATAGTTTTTTATCATTACGGTTTTTAGTTTCAGAGCTCTAACTCTTATATTCCCTAGATTTAGCCGGAAGCCTGACTTCTCTGGACTGGACTTGAGCACGGTCTGACTATTTCGGAGGCTGCCAAAAAGAAAACAAATTGAGTATTTCAACTTCACAAAGATCATTCACAATAATCAAATAACAAAATTCAGGTGGGATTAAACATCATAATTTCACCAAAGCTTAGTGATACTTAGAGAGAGAGAGAGAGGTGTACAGGGTAAGAGATGAGGGATTGGAGAGAGGGGAGAGAGTGGCGAATAGCGTGCATGAGCTCGATCCTTTGAGAGGGAGAAGGAGAGGTTGGGCCGAGGAGGGAAGACTCGATGGTGGAAAGGAGTAGTTTAGGGGACACCATTGTTGAATTGAATGATGAAACCCTAGAACCAGAATCAGAGAATGCTCTCTCTCTCTCTCTCTCTCTTTCAGTAGAGACTGAAAAGGCGGGAAAAGCCCTAATTCGGGAGGAGAGGAGGGCTTTAGGGAGAGAGAGGGGAAAGGGTTTTAGGCTGTGGTCGTGATGGACAAGGATGGGTTGCTGTGTGCGTTGACGAGTCGAAGCTGGTTAAAAAAACTTGGGGAAATTTTTATACAGTGTATAATTTGAAAAATAATTATCAATGATAAATTTTATTATGATCATTTTTTTTTATAAATTTTATTTTATAGTGTTTTATTTCACCTAACCTTTTTTTTTAATAGTTCATTTAGTTTATAGTGTTTTATTTCACCTAATCTTTTTTTTTTTTTAATATTTCATTAAGTCAAGTTTAATATAATATGGTTAAATCACCTTTCTAATTTCTTGGATATTAGCATATCACCCGTGCTATGCACGGATTGTGTTTACAATTATCTATATATGTGAATTGTGATTTTTAAATATTTTTTTATTCTAAATGTCTTCTTTTTTTTCTTTTTTATATTATATTAAAGTTTAATATTTTGATAATAATCATATGTGTTAGGCTTTTCAAGGAATTAAATTTTTTTATTATTATATTATATTAAAGTTTAATATTTTGATAATAATCATATGTGTTGGACTTTTCAAAAAATTTCTTATACTTGTTCTTAATGTATTAAAGTATTATTATGAGGGATATTCATCATATGTGTTGGGACTTTTCAAGGAATTCATATGTGTTGGATTTAGCATATCACCCGTGCTATGCACGGATTGTATTTACAATTATCTATATATGTGAATTGTGATTTTTAAATTTTTTTTTTGTAAATGTCTTATTTTTTTCCTTTTTTATATTATATTAAAGTTTAATATTTTGATAATCATCATATGTGTTGGACTTTTTAAGAAATTTTTTTATACTTGTTCTTAATGCATTAAAGTGTTATTATGAAGGAAAATAATCGTACCTGTTAGGACTTTTCAAATAATTCATATGTGTTAGATTTCAAAGAATTCTTTTTAGGAATTTTTATTGATAAATCCCATTTAGAAGTGTTTTAACTCAAAAAGTCCATGAAAGAATTTTTTAACCCATTTAGTCTCATGTATGTATAGTTTTATTCCATAAAATCCTTTTTATTGATTTACACTATTTTCTTGGACACTTATGCCCTTATATTTAATTTTGATACCCTTACAAATATTTTTTGAACGATTAGCAATTTTATGATGTGAACATTCATATTTTAAAATTCACATTGGTAGGAATGTAAAATTGGCACGTGGGTGGCCCGAAACCCACGCCGCGAGCCGGGCGAGCCCGGGCGGGCCTAGTCCGGCCCGTTAACAATGTGAATATTCACATTGACATGTTAACATTCACATTAATAAGAGTACAAAATTGGCCCGCGGCCAGGGGCGGGCCCGGCCTGTTAACAATGTGAATATTCACATTGACATGTTAACATTCACATTGATATGAGTGTAAAATTAGCCCATGTCTCGTGGCTGCCCGAAACCCACCCACGGCCCATGGGTGGCGCGGGCGCAGGCCCGGGCCCGGCCCGGCCTGTTAACAATGTGAATATTCACATTGACATGTTAATATTCACATTGATAAGAGTATAAAATTGGTCGGCGACCCAGGACGGGCCCGACCCGGCCCGTTGACAATGTGAATATTCACATTGACATATTAATATTCACATTAATAAGAGTGTAAAATTGGCCCGCGTCCCGTGGCGGCGCAAAAACCCGCCTGTGGCCCATGGGCAGCCAGGGACAGGCCTGGTCCGGCCCATTGACAATGTGAATATTCACATTGACATGTTAGCATTCACATTGATAAGAGTATAAAATTGGCCTGCGGCCCATGGGCGGCCAAAAGCCCCCCACGGCCGGGAGCGGGTCCGGCCTGTTGACAATGTGAATATTCACATTGACATATTAACATTCACATTGATAGGAGTGTAAAATTAGCCCCTGTCTCGTGGCTGCCCGAAACTCGCCCACGGCCCATGGGCAGCACGGGCGCGGGCCCGGCCCAGCCT